GCTATTACTGGTGAAGGAATGGGAAATTTATTAGATCTTATTGTTGAAAATTGTCAAACACATTTATATAAAAGACTTGTTTTCAATACAGAGTTGCAAGCCACTGTATTGGAAGTAAAAGCTATAACTGGCTTAGGAACTACCATTGATACTATTTTAGTAAATGGTTACCTTAGAGAAGGAGATACAATTGTTGTAGCAGGCACTGATGGGCCTGTCGTCACTCAGATTAGATCATTACTAATGCCTCAACCTCTGAAAGAACTTAGAGTGAAAAATGCTTATATTGAGTATAAAGAAATCAAAGCAGCTCAAGGTGTTAAAATTGCTGCTAAAGATTTAGAAAAAGCTATAGCAGGCTTAAATATTTATGTAGCTAACAAAGCAGATGAAGTTGAAAGACTTAAAGAGGTGGTAGCAAAAGAATTAAAGTCTGCTTTAAGTACTATTAAATTACAAGATAGAGGTGTTTATGTTCAAGCTTCGACATTAGGTTCATTAGAAGCTTTATTGGACTTCTTAAGATCTAGTAAAATACCATATAGCAATATACGAATTGGTCCCGTAGTTAAAAAAGATGTTATGAAAGCATCAATAATGTTGGAACATTCTCCTCTGTATGCTACTATATTAGCTTTTGATGTTAAAGTTGAAAGAGATGCACAAGAATTAGCAGATACATTGAATGTCAAAATATTCCAAGCTGATATTATATACCATTTATTTGATAAATTTACCGCGTATCAAGATGATCTCAAAAAGAAGAATCGAGATCAGTTTAAGTCTATCGCAGTATTTCCTTGCAAACTTAAAGTCTTACCACAGTTTGTGTTTAATTCAAGAGATCCAATTGTTATGGGAGTAATGGTGGAGTCTGGAATTGTTAAAGAAGGTACACCCATATGTGTTCCTAGTAAGGAATTTGTTGAGTTGGGGATTGTGACCAGCATAGAAAACAACCACAAAACTGTTGAAACTGCTAGAAAAGGACAAGAAATTTGTATAAAGATTGAACCAATACCAGGTGATGCGCCAAAAATGTTTGGAAGGCATTTTGATGAAAAGGATATGTTGGTGAGCAAAATATCCAGACAGTCGATTGATGCATGCAAAGATCATTTTAGAGATGATTTATTGAAGACTGACTGGCAATTGATGGTTGAGCTCAAGAAATTATTTGAAATTTTATGATGAAAATGTTTATAGCTAATATATTTTTTTTCTATGAAATAAAACAAATTAATTATTCCAAATTGGAAAGTATTTTTTTTTTATAATTATTCTTTGATTAAAATGATCATCTATTGAAACAAATAAAGAATTTTTTTTTATCACAATAAATATTTGAGTATAACTTACTATTTCTTGTTAGAGAAGAACAAATAGTTCATAATTAAAAAGACTTCATAAATACTTTTAAAAAAGTAACAGGAATTATTCAATGGTATGGTAATTTAAAATTTAGCATCTAAGTAAAAGTAGATTATTTAAACATTTGATGAAAAAATAATTAAAAAACAAAAACATTATCTGTACTTATTCTACGTTCAACAGACTAACAATTAAGTGATTTTTATAAACATTAAATTGCTAGATATTATTATATAATATGCTATTCATAAATTTTTTTCATTTATAATATGTTGTTTAAATAAATATAATATTCTAATTTTTAAAAATGTTAAGTGTTAAAAAAAATATAGTTATGTTAATTTTAATTCATGCTTGGAAACTGGGTATTAAAAAAAATATGCCTTATAGGTAACACATTAACCACTGAAGTGTACATAGATATTTAATTGGAAGATTTTTCTTTTAAAAGTTCAAAATAACACTATATGTCTTCGTGGTAACATAAATCAGTACACTTATGGATTTAATTGTCACTCGTGAACAAACAATTTATTTGCAGAATAAAGAACAAATACAATTATAGCAATATATATATTATCTTTTTTTCAAAACATTTGCATAATTAGTAACTGGAAAAAGGTACAAAGATTATATTAATATAACATCTTGTAACACTTGAAAGTTATAATGACTTCATAATGTGATTGCTATAGCTTGTGTTAGCTTTAGTTGTTAGATACCCAAACTACAAGATAATAAGAAGTAGGTAAGGATTAGACATTAGAATCATTAGATAATCAATTAAAACCGATTTCTTAAACCACTATAGGTGTCAAGATATTTTTTACAGGATTCAGCTTAAAGTAATAGAACAATGAAAGTTATCTAGTCATCTAGAGTAGAGTTATGTAAATGTTTTTTTTTTTAAATATTGGACATAACAATCAAGTTAAGAATGCATTACCTAAAAATAAAATGCCTCAGTTAAACTATATAAATTTGTCTCCCCTCCTTTTCACCACCTTTCAAACAAAGAATTTATTCGTTTTGTAATATTTAAGTATATAGTTAATACTAGCGCAACAAAAATGCCATCAAACATTTTCTTACAAATTCTTGCTGTCACTTAAAAGCAATAACACTCTTTTCTTACCTACTTATATCTACAACCTATCAACTATTATAGTAGGTCATTCTATACTAATATTATAAAGCTGAAGCATTTGTATATTTAAATATGCTGATCTCTTAAACCACATGACAGTTTTCAATAAAAGTTGTATCAATAGAATCCTTGAGACTTGGGTATTCTTAGCTACTATTTGTGGATATAAGGTTACTTATAGACTAGATTTGACTCTTAAAAATCGAATATTTCTTTGTTTATTAAATGGTTGCGTTGGTTACAGATTATAATTATAATACTCAGTGTCTTCGGAATTAATTGTGTCAGTTAGAACACTAATATTTAAATGGCTAGATATTTTACTTACACAATTATAATTACCGCCAAGTAAGACACAAGTGTTATTCACTTATGGTTACATAAATATTAAACCAGGATAAAATTGAGAATTATTAAGTAGTGGGGCTCAATCCAATAATTTAAAAACTGCGTTCCAAGTGCAAAATTACTTAACACTGACCTCCAACCCCCTTTGAAATCTACATTTTGGCTTAGTCATGGCATTTTAGATTTATTATATTCCAAGTATAATATGTAACACGTAAGTGAATAATATGTATTTATATTTTATATTCAACTTATTTTTCAATAATTTTCCCAATTACATTTCATACATTCACTCACTTAAAAAAGTATTATTATCATTATTATTCATATTTTCATTGCAATAATACCTACATGTTTCAGTAGGAATTAAAAAATGTATAATTATCAATGATAATATCTTAATTTGTGGTTCAAATGCATGCCTATGTCAATTGTCAACACTAATATACAGATTTTTGATAATGCAATAGTTTATTATACAAATCTGTGCTTGCTAAACTAAGCACAGAACAAGCATGATATTATATAATCAAATCATAGTAAAAAATAGCAAGGTATTAGTCTTATTATCTTAAGTCTAAACCATAGAAGAGATAAAAAATACTTTGGGTATTAAAAAATGCAAAATGTATTAGGTAGGTTTACAACAATTTAAATTCACTCTACATTTTAATAATTATTATTTCTGGCATAAGTCTGTACAATCCCTCTGTCCTAGTAAAAGAAGATAACATTAGGGGAGTTTTGTCACCTTGCGCACTCCCCACAACAATTCAAGAACTGCATTAAAATCATCAAATATTTATAAATCAATAGTGAGCCATTACATTTTAGTGAATTATCAAATTAATTAATTTGTATTCAATACATTTGGCATAAATATAGGTATCGAATCTACAAACTATCCAGTTACTAACTGATTAATTCCATACTTTACAGATGAAAAAACTTACAAGTAACCAAAAAGTATATTATATACCTAAATTTATAAAAATAGTACAATAATATTATGATGATAAATTAAAAAATGAATGTCTAAATGTAGTTCTATGGTATATTCTTTGTTGAATTGTATTGTATACTTGTAGGCTTATAAGAACAACAATTTAACAGTTCCCTTATGGGTGGTTTGTATAAATTCCATGTTTAGGATTGCAATTCGCTTGAATTTATAGCTTGAACAAATAACTGATTAAAAAACGTCATAAATTATAATAAACTACCTACAATTTTTTTTTAAATGTATACGATAATATTGTAGAATACTTTTAAAAGCTCTATCAATTTGAAAGGGGGTGAAATCAATGCTAATTATTATGCTGGTTCTATTATAGTGGCCCATTTGGCCATGTTTATAAAACTACAGAAAAAATGTATTAGTTTGTATTGATGGTTTTATGGAATATCAGATAATTACATAAATATTACTATTTACTTTTTCAACTAAAAACTTTGTGATGGCATGTAGCATGTTGCATGTATGTAAATTTTGTACAAGTTGTTATAAACCTTATATGTACTTGTGATTTGTTAAAAAGGCATTAGAGAAATAGCCAATGAGCCTACATGATTGGTACTTGATGGAAAAAAAGTTACTTCCAAAACAGGCATAGCCAATTTAAAATGAAAGAGAAAGTAATTGATCTGATGAGTGGTGATTAGTTAAAAAGGCATTAGAGAAATAGCCAATGAGCCTACACGATTTGTACTTGATGAAAAAAAAGTTACTTCCAAAACAGGCATAGCCGATTTAAAATGAAATTGAAAGTAATTGATCTGATGAGTGATAATATATTTGTTACAAAATTGTTTTGTAATAAAGCATACCAGTATATAGTCAAAACTTTGACAATATTACAAAACATCAGCTTTTCTAAAATTTAAGCAGATACAAGTGTACAACAACTAGAACTGTACCAGTAGGTATACTACCTCCATTTGCTATAAGAATAAAGAGTAAAGATAAAGGAACAGAATATAATAAATATTAATATCACAGAATAGAATAATCATGACAAAATAAACATAATATAATTATAATATTATTATCTATTCTATGATAATAGTATTATTGTTATTTTCATTATTTTATATATGTATTTATGTTTGATAGCATTTTTGTTGAGATTGATAAGGCTGACGAGTACAAGAGTTGCACCCATTACTAGTATAGTGTCTACTGACTTACTAACTAATGACGCGGACTTCTGAGTCAGTATTTAGTATTATTAACATTTTTTTAAAATTAACTACATTAGTTATTAATATAAGTAACCAGTAGGTAAATAATAATTAATGCCTGGTCTGTGGTCGGCATTAATTATGTCTAATATACAATTGTATAAGCTTTCTAGTTAGCTGATGACTATTATTAGATTCTTGGAAACTTTAAATGTACTAGAATTATGTGAACTACCTATGCGGATCTCAAATTATGTGTACATAATACATTAACAGTTGATACTCATTTTTTCACTTAAATTAAGAAAATTCAGGAAGACCATAATGGTTACAATTCATAGTCTCATTACAAAGAAATTTATACAATATTTATTTTGTATCACTGGTTTAATATTTTTTTGTGAATATGGCATTTATTACGTCGTTTTATCACAAGTAAGACTTTAAATTGTATTTTTTTTAAACATGTACTAGCTCAAAGTTTACTTTGAGGTTTTAGCCTATAGTGGTGATAATACAATTTTAAAAATGATTATAACTCAATTTCTAGTGCAATTGGCCGTCAGATAGTAACATGACATCGGAGCAACCTGTTAAAGTAATGTTTTTAGCTGACACACATTTACTTGGTACGAGGAAAGGCCATTGGCTTGATAAAATGATACGGTAATTTAAAATATCCTTACAAATACTTTTGAAAGAAACATGATTCAACATTTATTTTTATTTTTTATTATTAACGTTTTCAATAAGTCTAGTATGCCAAATTTATATAAAAAGTTAAAAAAAATCAACTTCTTACTTAACTAGGAAGTTAATTATTACAACTTCAAGTATCGGCTGTAATAACTAAAGCACTGAATTATATGCAATTGTGCGTCTGTACATAGTTTTTTTGTGTCGATGGGGATTTTAAATGTAATGTACTCATGGCACACTGAATTCCTAAATCAAATTTGATTTTGCATATTTTGCATGTGTGGAGGATTATTGAATATTAGTTCATAGAAACATAAAACATAAACATTTAATGTGTATTCAATTATCAATCAATATTTCTGTAGAAATAGTTATTGAAATTGTTTCTCAGAATTGTATTAAAATATTGTTATATTTTACATGATAGATAGGCCATGTAAATGCATGCATCACAGTGAGTTTTTAATTTTGATTGTTAATTTGTCATGTTTTCTGAGAGTTCAAGATATGTATGAAAATAATAAGCCACTCAAACAGTAGATTTTAGTTGTTTTAATTTTGTAATTTATAAAATATTGCATTTTCATATTTTATAATATTTAAAAGTTTTCTATTTTGATTTTAAATATTATAATGAGATGTCTAAAAGTTAAGATCGTTTATGTTCAAAATATTTTTTCATGGCAAATGATTTTAGTTCTATTTATTTGAAAGTTTATTGTTAGGTTTACTGGGAGTTTTTTGTATTATTTTATATTTTAAATGATTTACAAAAGGTATTTACAGCAAGTTTTAGTTTATTTTTATTTTCTCTTTGAATATTTTATGGTACTGAATAAAATATTTTAATCTATTAAATGTTTGTTACAATTTTAATTATTTGAGTGTTTTGGTTTATGATGAAAACTTTAGTTGTTTATTAGTTTATTATTATCACAATTCTTGATGTAAAAATGGTGTTTTATTTTTTTAAATATATTTCATTAAGGGTAATATTATGTATATACTATATAATTAAATATTTAGCCACCTTTTGTATGCATATTTGCATTATATTTGACAATTTTTACATGCATATAATTACAGGCTCTAGTAATTACTTATGTTAAGACTAATCTGTACATTTAAAAAAATTTATCTTTGAGAGATTTTGCACAAGTGGGCAGTAACTGCTATATTAATGTAAAACTACTACTTCATACTAATTATTAATGAGTAATTAATATGCAATACATATGAATTCTTAACTTATTATAATTGAAGAAATTATGTATTTCTAAAATTATTTTAGAGAATGGGAAATGGGATGTGCTTTTCAAACTGCTATCAAATTACAAAAACCAGAACTTATTTTTGTTTTAGGTAAATTATTATTGTTGATTTAAAAAAATATATATATTTGTTATTTTTATATTGAACAAAAAAAGAAATTTATATGTATTTTTAATAGGTGATTTATTTGATGAAGGATTATGGAGTAGTGAAAGAGATTTCAACTCATACGTTGAAACATTTAAATATTTGTTTTCAGTACCATCAGATATACAATTATATGCTATTGTTGGTAATCATGATATTGGATTCCATTATGGGTATAAATAATTTATTTATTTGTTTATACTTAATTGCAGTATAATATTATATTATATAATAGTCAACTTGATTTTATGATATAGAATAACACCATATCTCGAAAAAAGGTTTAATAAAGTGTTTCATACTGGTCCAGTAGAATTGATCAGTAGACGTAATGTTCATTTTATAACAATTAATAGTATGGCTATGGAAATGGATGGATGTTTTTTATGCCATACTGCTAAATTAAAACTAAACGACATTTCAAGTAAGCTAAAAGATATTATTTTATTTTCCAATAACTTATTAAATAAATATGAATGAATCCTGATTATTTTAGAAAGGTTAAAATGCAGTCAAAATGAAAATAAATGTTCAAAAAAAATGATGCTAGATGGAAATTACAGTAAACCCATACTATTACAAGTAATTAATAATTTAAATTCTAAATCATTATATTTATATACATCATAAATACGTATTATTCTATACAGTATTTTTGATGCCTATTTAGAGAGATTATAGTATTAATTTTAAAAGCATATTGTTATTACTTATTACATTTCATTACATTCTATATCCAATCCTTAACCATAAATATGTCAAATGTGCTAAGTTCAAACGTAGATTATAAAATGTTTTCATTCTGAATAAAGATTATTATTTTTTAATTTGTTAACTTATACATAAACTGTGAAGTAGTCAAGCATGTTTAGAACAGTTTAGTAATGATTGGTATATAGCTACTAATATAAAATAATTGTGTCGTTTTGTATTATATTTTTTTAATATGAATTAATTACTTTAAGATGAATTTAACTAAACCATAATATGTAAACAATTTCGATTTCAGCATTTTCCATTGTACAGAAAAAATGATATGGCCTGCAATGAACCAGATTCAGCGTCATTAAAAGAAAAAGAAAAACCGTTTCGTGAGGGCTTGGATTGTCTACGCAAAGATGCAACAGACAAGGTATTGAGTAAAGTGTAATACTAGCCTAACTTTATAAATATAAGTCTACATCAGCAGGACTGATTCAATCAAAAATAGTGTACTAGACAAAATCAAATTTGGCCACCCTTAAATAATAATATCACTGTTTTGAAAATGCTGCCTCCCACTAAAATGCAGTCATATATATATATTGCCTATGTCATCTAACCCTTGAGCCGGGCCTGTTTATCAGTATTAACTATTTATCATCTCAAAATATGTGAAAAAATAAGTATTATTAATTTAATTTTTTTTGAGGATTATTGGAATAAATATTAACAATAGTTAATCAGTACCTTGGTGTTGCGGTGTGTGGCTTCAGTCGCTAATATGTCTGAGTGTCAGCACCGATTGGTGCCACTAGTTCCCGAATGGGTGACCACCCAGGTTCTTAGTGATAAATCCTTGCTATAACCTTAAGTTAAACCCTAAGTTAACAAAGTTATAGATTTTCCATTCGAGCTCCTTTTAGCCTCTATAATGTTAGTCAAGTTATAATATGTATCTTTAGTGATCCATTTGTATCCATTGGTATATGATATATGGTTGCCTAAAGACTAATTAATTTAATCAATTAGTTTGTTATCTACATTAGGAAGTTTACAAAAATGTCCATTTATTTATAAAAAACCACGAAATAGATCATGTGTACTATTTCTCTTTGACCCAAAATCCTAACATTTAGGTCCAATAAGTACTACTTACTCGTTTAATAATAATCGTCTCCTACTCTCCTTTACCCTAAAAACATATTTGATTTTCTCATAATTCTTAACCTAGTTAATATGATGTAACAAATAGTATATTTTAATTTTGTAAAAAAAATTTGTTATTGATGTATTGACAGTCTAGTGTCTACACTATTTTTCAGTCACACAATTGAAATAGTTTTTTAACTTTCTTTTTATGATACTTTGCCGGATTTTTTTAAATTTTATCTTTGGGCACAAAAAACAATTAGTATATCCAATATCCAAGGTTTAATTCCGGGAAAAGAAATGGTTAAAACCTAACGTAGGCCGTTTGTAAAATTAATAGATAACAAATGTAGAAATTACCAATTAAGAGATATTTTCACAGTTAACTGCATATTTTTTTTTACTAAAATCATCAAATGATTGTGGTGGCATTGTTAGGTGCATTTTGTCAAAGTGGTTATAATCATAATAGAAGAAATTAAGGGTTCTATAACAATATTGTACTCTGTTAACATTCATGCATAAAATAGAATATCTACAAAAATTAAATTAGGTTCAAAATATTCTTTATTTCCTAGTTTCATTGTTGAACAATGTGTCAAAACCCTAGATATTTATATACCTATTATAATTCTGTAGTATTGTAAATACTAGTACACAAAACATTTTTTTTTTGGATTGAGAAATTTTTGTTTCTTTTTAATTAGTTATTAAAAGTGGTGCAGCCTCGTCTAGTTTTTGGTGGTCATACTCATCACGGTTGCCATATTAAACATACAAATGGAGTTCATGAATACAGCATATCTTCATTTAACTGGAGAAATAAATATAATCCAAGTTATACGCTTGTAAGTATAATGGAAGTTTTGAAAAAATATGTGTAATGAAATTAACTATTTTAACTGCTTTTTTACAATATAGTTTATCAATAAATAAAATGAAATGTTTTTCTTTTTCAGGCATTATTTAGTATGGATAATTATTCCATTGAAACTTGTCATATGCCACAAGAACATACAATTGTATTTATTTATTTAACTTCTATTATGATATTTTTATTTTTTAAAGTATTCAAATTAAAACGAATTAACTATATTAACAAGGATTATCATCTATTTAATCATAAAAATTAATCATAAGAATACTATAATTAATTTTTTTAAGCTGTTAGACAATGTTCTGTTCGTATAATGGTTGTTCAGCAATTAACCGGCCGAAACCTAACCTAGAAAGATCTATTGTGTTATATCCACCCTCAGTAATCATTTCCATTACAGCTCGGCCAATAGCTGGTGCTTGTTGTATACCTAATATTAATAAATATTAATTAATTAAATTGTACAAATTAAATTAAAATATTTATATTATATACCGTGTCCGCTAAAACCAGCAGCAAAAAACAAATTGAAATAACTTGGATGAGCTCCGATAACACCATTTTGATCATACCAATTATAATCATAAAATCCAGCCCAGCTACTTTTCACCTGTGAAATAATTTAAATTCAAACAATGAAATCGATCTATGATAATATATATTTTTAAATTGACATAACCACATTAAGTATATGTATCTATTGTATATTTTTATTTAATAGAATATAATATTGAACATGTATATGCACTACATAATATATAATACTTTAATGCTGGGTTGAATGAACAATCACCAAACATTTTATTGAATTAATAGTGAGCCAATTGTCTCTTAAACATTATTTAGTAGTCCATGGTTGGTCGATTAAATTTTATGAATTAATATTTCATGCAAACTAGCATCTGTACAATAAATTCAATAAATAATTGCTTAAAAAAAAAATAATTCATTTTGATTTGTGTAATTTATATACAGTGTGTTTCTTTTTAAAGGTAACATTAAATAATTCTGTCCAGTGACATCAGATTGATATGCGGTTTTCGGGAGGAAATAGGGAATAAAGAAGAAAAGATTTATTAGATAGTTATTAGACATTTTTTACCCAAATAAATAATAGACACTATAAAAATTATAAAAATTGTGTTAATTAGTTTAATCTTTTCTTAGTAAATTAAACATTTACGTTTAATTTATGTTAATTAATTCCTCAAAATTAAATTTAAATAATTCAATGTCTGCAAGCCTTCGGTTACAAAAAATTCTTGAAATTTCATAATTCATAAAATTCTAGTATGATTGTTGAATTATTCAATAATTTAAATCGAAACTTTAACTCGTTGTCATTTGGTCAATTTTGATTTTTGAGATATGGTGAAAAGTCAATATTGACTTAAAAAAATTCGGTCTATCAGAATTTGGTATTCAAAACACCTGTTGCCATTTAAAAAAATGCAAGTTGTATTGCGCATGCGCACACGAAAAGATCTAAAAATGTAAAAATCATCAAGAAATGTGTATCTATGTATTCCCTACCTCCTCCCAAAACCGTATATCAATCTGATGTCAATGGACAGAATTATTTAGTGTTACCTTAAAAAGAAACACACTGTATTGTTTTACGTGAGAGACAACATCTTAGATAAATTAAAAATAAATAAATTCAACTTAAATTCTTATAAGCATTAGTGTTTTACATTTGTAAAAAGCCTACAATTTATATTTTAATTTATTTGGTATTATATCTATTCAACAAATATTACATTTTATTTTATATTAGACCAACAATGTTTTACTATACTTTGATTAAAAAAAAATATTTTAATATTAAAAATTTCTAAATTAAATTAGACAACATAAACAAACTTTAAATTAGCAACACGTTAAAAAATGTAAATATATGACTATAAATTCCTGTTAATTGTAATGTTATATTTGTACATTACTCTATATATATATTTTTTATTTTTCTGAAATAGGACCATGTTTTGTTACATAAATTTGGGTTTGAAATTTATTTTTTAAATAATTTACTAGTACTTATTTATTTTTGTATCGTTTAATATACAGTATAAAATTATAATAATTAAGATTATATGGTTCAAATGATTTTGTAATTGTTTAAAAATAATTTGGAGAATATTAGATAATAAAGTGCTATTATTACAATTTACTATATTTATTAGAACTATGTCTCTATGTAAGTTAATATTATAATTTATAATATAGGACAGATATACCAAGTATATTATGTTCATTAATTTTTAATGATGTAATAAAAGTATTTACGTTAAAATTAAATAAATACTTTACCAACAAAATGTGTATCATAACTAGTTATTCCACAAACTTCTAGATTTGGAGATTTGGAGTTGTCAAAGTATTAACATTATCAATAAATTTAAAAAGCCTAGCAAGTAGATGAAAAATCATTATTACGTTCAAATACAAATTACAAAATTAAAATTAGATTTAATAATACCAATATAAAACATTAAGACATATTAATTCACTAAAATATATTAATATTACTACCTGGGTGGCATTTATATAATTAATTTTTTTAATTATTTTAAATGACTACATTTTTGTTTTGTTTTAAATAATAAAAGAACTCATCAGAAATATAATTTGTATTAGTGCAAAACTGATTATAATGGCGTTCTGAATTACAAACACAGTTTTATCACATATACTTTGATTGGTGGCAAATTAAATGATGCATGAAAATTATAAAAAAAATGTACTTGTGTTAGACAACAGTTAAAAATATAGATATCCTGGACTCTTATCACAAACTTACATTGTAAAGCTGTGAATCCGGCTTAAGCCTAACATATTAATTTTAATAAATAAGCATAATAGCAACGAAAAGCCTGCATGGATAAATTTTAGACATAGTGAGGCAACTTCACGTACAAGATATTATGTACATAATTTATCAGTATGGAATATCCGTGCATTAAGTTTTGTGTAAAAATAGATTTTTTTATCATAAATACCCCTTCTTGTTTAAACAATATCAATTTTTATTTTCATCACATTTGTTACTAAAATAAATTTCTTTTATTTGACTATTTAAAATTGTTAACTGGCAATTAATAAGGTCAACGCCACTGTTGAATCTACATACCGCCGTCACTTGTAAACTTGGTAGATTTTATGTAAAAGTCAATACGATAAAAATTTAAAACGTTTTCAGCAGTACCTGATAAAGACTTGATACAAAACAGGTTACTGCATATTAACAACATGTTGATATTAGCCTAGGGCAGCCATTTACTCATGTCAACAATGTTATATAATTATTAGCCTTATAATTAATTGAAATCAAATATTTATGGTGAAACAGTTTTTAGTTACTTTCGCTTCTTCGAATGCAGGTACTCTGTGTGCAAGTGTTGCCCAGATCTCCTTTTCAAAAAAATCATGATCTACATCTAAATTGACTGTTTCTGGTTCTTCTGTATCACATGGTGATTTACCACATATATAATGGTTGTTAAAACTGTCAGGCCTACAAACCAACAGATCAACAAAAAAATTTTCATTTGATGTAATCGAAGATGCAATATAAGTATACTGACAAAAAACCACGAATTAAAATATTAATTTTGAAAATTAATTTATGTTTAATATAAACACTGAGAAAAAGTTTTTGAACTTTTTTATCTTAAAACTTATTAATTTTAATATAAATAAATAAAGGCAAAACACAAATGACCTTAACTTTATGGTAATATTAATCTTCAATAGTATACACATAATACATCTTTCATCTAATGAATTGTCACTAATAAATAATAATACATTTCTACTTTCAAACATTTTTTTTTCTTCAGTTAATTAATTTTAAGAGTAATGTATAGTATATGTTTATAATGTATTATATAATTATGTCATAATACATCACAAAATATTAATATACATTTTAAGTTTGGTACCTGAAATAAGTTCCAGATGGATCAATTACCATTGGCGACATTGAAGGACCCTTAGGTGCGTGATAATAATACACAAAACGTTTACTGTAAAAAAAAAGTATGATGAAGAGCCAAATATATTAAAGAGTTCATATTATTTTTTTATTACCGAGGTTCAATAGGCAAAGGTGTAGATAAAAATCCTTTGCCATTTCCAACCTTAGCCATCCGTGCAACATTTCCTGATTCAGCACCAGCTGCTACTATACATATACCAAACACCATTTGTTGAGTTTCACCACCTTTTAACTTTACCTAAAAAGTTGAAAGTCATAGCTCAAGTTATCTTATAAATTATATTTAATATGTGTCAAATATTAATAAATAAATGTAAAACTAAAAATGTAAATATATAACACCTGTACATACTTTTACGCTGTTAACCCCTTCATATTCTTTATTAGGATCTTCTTCCACCGCTATGCTTGTATCTACTTTAAAACCAAAATCTTCTACTTCACCCTCAACATAATACGTCCCTAGTGATTTAGTTTTATTTCTTAATGCATTCAACAAGGACCATGGATCAAACCTATAGTGTGATTGTAAAAACAATTAGTCAAATAAAAACAAAAAACTAGTCAATAAGTTTGATAATTTACCATCCTGAGTTTAAAGTTCCAAGACTTCCTAACTCAATATCATCCACATTTAACCAAGGAAATTTAGTTTTCATCATATCTTTTGATAAAAGCTCGACATTAGCATTTAATTCTCTAAAAAGTAGTATAGAAAAAATTAAAAATCACCATTTTTATTAATTGTAAAGATCATACTTTTGTAATTGATGATTTTTTAACATTATATCCACACCATTTTCTGTAGCTAAAAATAAATACCCGGATGGATTAAAATTTATTTCTGGTGGTTGTTGTTCTGGGACAGTCAAGTAATCTTTGATATCTCGAAGAAATTCAGCACTGAATTGGGATAATTCAATGTTTTCTTTCAGTGAAAACTGTTGACGAATTCCTCCGCAAGAAAGTACTGAAGATGCTTTTGCATACTAGAATATTAAAATAAATATTTTTAAGCAAATAGGTATTTTAATTTAACACAGCTTTAGAAAGATCATGTAATTATTAGTGTGTCCCATAATTATAAAATGTTGTGTAAAAACTATTTTTCTTGAACAGCACCATTCAATATGAATACATGACGTTTTGATTAATATACAAATACAGAACCCAAATTTATAAATTATATTATAAAATGTATTAGTGGTATGTATAGAAAAATAGAACACTATGCCCGGGTTGCATGAACAATGAGTTTAAGCATTTTGTAAAATAAATTTGTAGACTAATAAAATTGCAATTTTAGGAATTTTTTAGTGCAATACTGTAATCAATTTTACTACTTTTTGCAACTAAACATTTCTTAATTTTAAATTCATGATTAT